TACTACTACTACTACTACTACTACTACTACTACTACTACTACTACTACTACTACTACTACTACTACTACTACTACTACTACAGATAATAATATAACAAGGCATTATATATTGATCGACCCCAGATTATAAGTACGTAGGGTCTGAGCGCTTTACAATACACTGTTACATAAAACAAAACGTGTCGGGCTTTTAGGTTCTGCTTGTCATTCGACTTTTGTACCCACACGCAAAGACCTGATAAAATAAAACCAGGGCGATTTGTTTTCGTTCTATTTTAATGTGGACAAAGGAAAGCAAACACGCTTTCGCGTATAAATCCGCCATTGCTGTTGAAACACAGTGACTCCAAGGTTGTAGTGTAACTTATTCTAAATTGTGAACATTTATTAAGCAAATCCCTTTTTCAAATGAATAAAGAGACGAAGTCAGTAACGTTTTCAATTTGTTTTGCAGGACTAAAATATTCCTGAAAGTCCACAGCCTTCCAAATGTGCAATTCCTTGTATATTTAGTCAAAAGATATTAAGTGAGCTAAAACAATGCAAGGATGGAGGGTCATTACACGTCAACCTCTAAGTCAGAGATATTACCTCCAAGTATTCCAGGTAACAGTGCAAACGTTGATGGAAGGACGTAAATAGACTATACTAACCACCCCCACCTTTTCCGACCGTCCTGAGAAGGCAGGGCAGGGGAGAGGGGGGTGAGCATTATGGTAAAATCAAGTGTACTATAGACTTTCTGCAAGCACAAAAGCACGAAATAAGTCCAAGACATTTACGTTTCTGTTGTAGAGAAAAAAAAAGACTATTTTGTACGTAGCTCATTCTCTTCAAGGTGCAGAGTTTTTGAGGAGGTAGACATCACTAGACACACCCTACACTGAACACCGTTTCAAACTTTCAAAGACGGAAAACATTCTGCTAAAGAAAATAACTCATTCGAGTGTAACATACTTTACAATTTACCAGCGTGTTCTTCTCCTCTTAGCGAAATAGTGCTCCCTGTCTACCTTCATTAAGAAACACCGAGCTTACCTTTGAAGTCAAAGAAGTAGGAAAGTCTGTTAGCGAACATAGCTAGACAGCATCCTGTTATGGTATAACCTTCCATCGTGTCTGGGTTGGCTGTCCAGGCGTCAAACGCTTCACTGCCACTCACGCCGATATAGACACCTGTCCGCGACCCTCGAACGCTCTGGAGAGTCTGGCCTGGATAATAAAATGTGAGGCATCGTGGCGAAATCAGGCGCTCGTCAAAATATTGAAATCAAAGAAAAAAGCACTTCTGTTCCCATTTGGTAATCTTTATCGAATCTCATTTCTTTGACTCAATACCTTTTATGTCCACCTAATATACATTGCCGTATGAATTTTACTTTAAAAAATGCTGATTAGGGCACAAAAAGGCAAATTTACAGTTTCCAAGGACTCTCAAACTTTCAAAGTCACCAAACTTTGGCCGACATCTAGTTGTTAATTTTACCTCTGAACCCAGGTGACCCTCACCTCCTTCAATCTAACATATCTCGACTTTTAATAAAGATACAAGTTTAAAGATGGTCACAAATAACTCCATATGCCCAACAATTGATGAGCGCCTGATTCCACAGCATCGTGACATAATATATTCAGTCTGAACGACTCATTTTGTTCCCCTTTATTTTCGTTTTGGAGTTGAACTAATTTAAACCATTCTTTTGCCACAAACGGGTTAGGCAACTAACACATTAAGATTCATAGTCTTGAAGACATGTTAGAAAACCACAAGTTGCTCTTATATAATGGGTGGTTGGCGGGTGTTCTGGTGCGGTTTTCGCTTTCTTTCCTATCTAACATATATCGTCCTTATTTCTCTTTCTTTTATTTGTCTGTTACTATAATTTAGTAACACCTCTGATCTTCGGTACTCATATGGCTATTTCTGTTGAAAGTGTTGTAAAACTCCTTCTTAATCTAAACTAATTAAAGATTCAAAGATTCAGGCAGTTGTATTCGTCTCTATTTATAAACTATATTTATTGGTGCCGCACTAACTGTAGACACTTGAATGACGTTATCGAAAACAAGAACATAAAAAATCGTTGACAACTGTTGTCATGTCATCCTTTCCTCCCTCTCCTCTCCTCCTCCTCCTTTTTATCATCTTCATAATCATCACCGATGAAGAAAAGCATGGAAAAAAATAACAGTATTGAGAGTTTCTGGAAATTTCCGGTCACTACATAGCCTACGAGGTTCTCAACCTTCCACCTGAAAAGACTTCTTCAGCGGCGACTGAGAAAGAACCACAAGGGAACGCTGTACATATTACAGGGGAAAGGCCTCAAAAAGTAGTCTTTCAGTGGGTAATCATCATCATCATCATCATCATCACCGTCATCAACAAAAACAACAACAACTACAACGACAAATACAACTACAACGACAACTACAACATCAACAACGACACCACCACCCCCACCACCCCCACCACCCCCACCACCATAATACAAAAGATGAGACATCTGACAAATTGTGCCTGGAAAAAAATTTGAAGTAGGTATTGTTGTCCTCACCTGAATCAATGATGGCTTCATAGGCCACTTCCAGCAACATCCTGAGTTGTGGGTCCATGCAGTCAGCTTGCTTCGGGTGGACGCCAAAAAATCCAGCGTCAAACTTGGTAATTTCTTTCAGCTTACCACTCCTGCTTGGAATCCCATGCATGCCTGTAATAGTGAGAGCTCTTAAAGTCATTGTATCATGTCGACAAAAGCTCTCAGACCAGGAGAAAAAATTGGTATATAATAATACGTTCCGTTGGGGACAGTAGTAATACTTATAATAATTGTATTTATGTAGCGCATTTCCTACGCTCTATAGCATACTCTAGGACCTATATTATGTGCTTTCAATTGTTGCTACGAAAGCAGACCCTAGAACACACATAAATAATTCTCGGCTACCCGGGAAGCATACAACACAAGCTGTAGATTTCACGCGCTCAAACACTAACACACTGGCAGGATCTTTCGCTGTCTATAGCCGGGTACCCATTTCCACCTGTGTGAAGTGCGGAAAATTCGTGTAAAGTATCGTTCTCAAGGACACAACGTCTGGCCCCTATTGGGATTGGAACCCACGATCTTATACGATGTGCCCATTGCAGATGGGGTCGGGTCGGGATGATCGCCCGACTCGTCGCCTGAAAACAAACGAGTTTGTGTTTGAGGTGACGAGTCGAGCACGATCGGGTTGTGCCACAATAGTCGCTTTGCGCCTTCAAACTACCTGCCTAAATGCCTCCCAAGATATCGGAAATACTTTATGCACCGAGAAAACACAGATGATAAAAACCTTTAAATTCTTTGCCATATCGACAGGCCGATCATCTAGAACCCAGATGACGGCTGGATCGGAAAAGAAAAGTAAAGTAAAAGTTGCCCCCTCAACTTGGCTAGCAAACCGACCCGACCTGACCTGACCCGATCCCCAAATGGGCACCCTGTAAAGCAGTTGCGAGGCTTTACCACTGGGCCACCGACGCCAAGCTGTGAGCGTCTGTCTGAATGTATGCGTGTGTGTGTGTGTTTGGGTGTACGTGTGTGTTTGAGTGTGTGTGTGTGTGTGTGTGTGTGTGTGTGTGTGTGTGTGTGTGTGTGTGTGTGTGTGAGGTTTGGCAAGAATGTCTAGGAGCGCAGAGGACTCAGCCTCTCCACAGAGCTGAAGGTCTACCGGACAGTGGTTCTTACCATTCTTCTCTACGCCAGCGAGACCTGGACTGTTTACAGCAGACACGCGAAGCAGCTCAATCGATTCCACCTGAGCTGTCTTCGTAAAATCCTCCGCATCCGATGACAGGACAAAGCCCCAGACACTGCTGTTTTAGAGCGAGCCGGAACCCCCAGCATCTACACCATCCTCCACAAAACGCGAGCCAGATGGGCCGGCCACGTGAGCAGAATGGCGGATAGACGGTTGCCCAAACAGCTGATGTACGGAGAGCTCTTTTATGACAAGTGCTCAGTTGGAGGGCCAAAAAAACCCCGTTTCAATGACTGCCTCAAAGTCTCTCTAAAGGAACTTGGAATCCTGAACGACTCGTCGGAAACTCTGGCCCTAGATCGTCCCGCTTGGCGCTGCAGGCTAACGAAGGGAGCCAAAGCAGCAGAAGCCAAGCGAATCGCCGAGGCCAAACAAAAACGCAACGTGCGCAAGTCTAGACCTGCCTCCACCACAAGTCCAACAGCAGACAACCCGTGCCCACAATACGGGCGAACCTTCCAAGCCCGGATAGGACTAATCAGCCATCTCCGGACCCACAGTCACTGTCAACAGATCAATTTGTGAAGTCCTGGTGATCTTCATATGCGAAGGACGAACAACATGTGTGTGTGTGTGTGTGTGTGTGTGTGTGTTTGTTTGTTTGTTTGTGTGTGTCTATATGTGTGTGTGAGTGTGTGTGTGTGTGTGTGTGTGTGTGTGTGTGTGTGTGTGTGTGTGTGTGAGAGTGTGTGTGTGTGTGTGTGTGTGCGCGCGCGCGCGTGTTTGTATATTATAGTCAATCTTGCCATGACGGCCACCTGCACAAACAACGTTTTTCCTTTCCTCTCCATACCTTGCGTTTTTTTCTATACAATTTCAGTGTAAAAAGGTCACCTGTCCAACGCACCCAAGTAACCCCATTTTAACTCCCCAGAACGTCAAAAAAACAAACCCAAAGCCAGTCTAGGAGCGGCCATGCAAGTCTTTCTTCACCCGACGCTTTATCATATACAATGTATTGGCTCCGGCGCTGTGGACGAGCCGCCATAACCCATTTACCTGTCATTATTGTTAGTTCTTCCAATGTCCAATAATGGGTAAACAAAAATGCTTTACACATTCAGTTAAATCCAGCCATTGATGATGGCATCAATATTGAAATGAAAGCCGTGTCTGGGACACAACTCCACTTGGGAACTCAAAAGGGAATGTTTAAAAAAACAAACAATAACAACCCTGTTTCCCTTAAAAAACCAAAATAGATTAAAAATATAAGATAAATGGCAACAACAAAAACCTTTCTACCCCTCACCCCCAAACATTTAAATTAGCCTTACGGCAGTCCTATGCCTGAAATCACCTCCGGTTGGGACCTCGAAAGGAAATAGTTTGTTTTCTTCATTTTCATCAATACTGCCTAAGACGGCCACCTGTCATAGAGGGCCACTTTCCCTCTGGTCATTGGGTGGCTGTCTCACACAGCTTTGACTAATATATATTATATATATACATATATTATATTATAGCATATCATATTATATTATATTATATTATATATTATATATATATATATATATATATATATATATATAATATATTATATGTGAGTGTGTGTGTGTGTGTGTGTGTGTGTGCATGTGAGAGCGCGTCTGTGTGTGTGGGCATAAGGGGCGTCATCGTGCTATATTGGAGATATTCTACATCAGTTGTCTATTTTGGCCAGGCATTTATTTTCCTGTGGGTGTTTTGCTCAATGTTTTTCCTACTCTTAAATATTTATTAACATTTTTCTGTCTGTTAACATTTGTCAGTAAATATTTCATTTTAGTGTTAAATAATTATTTTCAACTCAACAAACTTTAAAAAATTGGGATTGTAATGGTTGTGCCGAGGATTTTTTAACAAAGTGCTTCAGAGTGCGTGCTCTGCTTAATATAAAAAAACAAAATAAAAAACAAAACAAAACCCAGCTAAAATATGGACAATATCCATTTTTGAGAGCACAAGTTATGAATCACAATACGTGGTCAATATTGTCGTGTTGTGTACAATCAAGAAGAATAATAAAGCGGAAAAACAAAGGGAAATGAGCGGGGAAAACAAAAGCACCACTACTCCTAAAAAAAGCAGAGCCTAGCTAAAGCAAAGACAAAAGCAAACCCCCACACCTGCATACTTTATTCTAACAAAGCTGATATCGAAAGCCTCTTTTTATAAAACAAGAGTTACGGAAGGAAAGTTATTTAGTCTCAAGAGGGTTCGTTAGCCTAAATGTTACTGTAATGTGTTTGCTTTTCATGTCAAAAGTATCTCACACGATGCAGGTTCCAACTTGTAAGCTTTAGGATTTGTGAAATGTTGATTTCTCTTTCTGCCATTGGCGTAGTTTCACACGTCTTTTACGAAGTCACGACTTGTCGTTTTCCATGACACTCTTAATTGTTCATTTAACTTCTTCAAATTTTGGAAACAAAAGCTATTTTAATAAATTTCGGAAGAAAATACGTTATTGTACAATGTATCTTGTTAATGCTGCTTCACCATTGACAGCTCTCTTTGATACCTCTGTATTTCTGTCCCTTATAGAAAAGCTGGGCCATTCAAGTTATTCTACATTATTTTTTTTATAAAACAAGAAAACACTGGGTTCCCTGGTCGCCTCAAAACACCCCACTGGCCGTCCACACACTTGACATAGAAAAGTCCTAAAGTCATGCCTCAACCTCTACTCCTCCCCCTTCCCCCCCCCCTGAAAAAGAGAACTCTGGGGTTGTTTCCAAAGGCAAATGACTCATACATTCTGCCAATTTTCACGTTGTATGCCTCTCTGTCCTCCTGTCTTTTTACTTGTTTTCAAAAGACAACAAAACACCCATTCTCCTCTGAATATCTACATCAGGCAAACAGCGCAGATTTGTCGAGCCGTAGCCATGCTGACAAACCAAAGCTGTCAGGTGATAATTTGCAGACACGCATTTCAAAACGATGAAAATGGATGTTTACTACTGGAGTCACGCCGTTCTGCACTCGACCCTTAACAAACCAAGAGTTCCTCTCACTCCTAATTGATACTTTGGAAAAAAGTGCCTGCAATTACGTGTGCAGCTAAATTGCTAGTTTCTACCTCCTTTTTGCATTAGGCTCATTTCCTTTCTTCTAACTGCTCTTTCAACTTGACGTTTCGATCAGTAATTCAGTCAGCTTTAGAGTTTCAAGAGGGAGAATCTGTATTCAGAATGACCTATGATTGGGGAGTACAAGTTATATTATGCTAGAATACGTAAAAAAATTAATTCATTCACAAAAAAGAAGTCGGGCATGCATGAATTACGTTACGAGGTAAATGAAAAAAAAACAACCCAGGGAAGTAATCAGAATAGTTAAAGTGGTGTGTTCTTAAAACTATATCCAGTCTCAAAGAAAAATTTCCCAAGGGGAAAAGGGCCGCAAAAATATTTTTCAAGAACGAAGCAGATTCAATAAGCATAATCAGAAAATGGCGTAGATGTCACTATCGTGTTGGAAAAGGGACTGGCCGAAGGACATGTACTGAGACAACATTTTTTGCGAGTCATTTTACTTTTAAAATATTCCATACCTTTTACGTATTGGAAAATTGACTTGGTTATTTTGCTAGCAATAGGCCAGTCTGGCTCACAGAAGATGTTTCCAACAGAGCGTAAACACTGACGTAAATAAGTTTGCTTTGTTCGCAAGATGAGTGGGTTAAATCAAATGATAAAGTAAGAGCTTGAACATTACCAGCTAAATAAAGGAACGTAAACTCACTCTAGGGGAAGCCGTTAACGCGTGCATTCAGGCTATGTTAAAAAACGTACCAGCAATTAGGAGGGTCCATTTAGATATTATTGTCTGAAAATGACCTTTGATGCGTGTTTTCTAATGAGCCTTGCAGGTTTGATATTCATATTCATATTATTCATTATTTAATTGAAACATTTACAAAATCACCGAAGCGTAATATCAAGAGG